ATATATATATATATCCCACACATAATACTTTAGTAAATCAGTGTCGTAGGGCAGCATGCATAACGTCACATGTGAAAATCCATCAATAAATATACATATATATATGAGATAAGAGGAATAGCCATAGCATCATATACTCAAGCTATATATGCCAGATATAATTATAAGTCATAGCCAAGGACAAGGCAACGCATTTATAACGTCGTATATGTAAAATCTATTGATATATAGATATATATATATATAGAGAGAAGCGAGAAATCAGAGGAAGAATGGACATTGCAATACCCGAGCTTGTCGATTTCGTCGATCAAAATCAACGGGTTGGAGCTCTGCGTGGTCTTGAGGCACTGGATGACCTTGCCAGGCATGGCCCCAATATACGTGCGCCGGTGGCCTTTGATTTCGGCCACGTCACTCAGCCCGCCCACGGAGAAGCGGTAGAATTCGCGGTTCAACGACCGAGCAATGGATTTGCCGATGCTGGTCTTGCCCACCCCTGGCGGCCCCACGAGGCAGATGATGCGCCCTTGTACCTTGCCTACAAACAACATCTATATGTCAAAATCTTCACATATATATATATATTACCTAGCAGTTTGGACACGGCAATAAACTCGAGAATGCGCTGCTTGACGTCCGTGAGGCCGTAATGGTCGGCGTCCAAAATGATCTTGGCTGCGACAATGTCAAAGTTCTCCGTCGTCGATTTCCCTGTCGCATATTTGAATATATATATATATATGCTCGATATGGAGAGATAGATTGATGAGCAGTAATAAATAAATACCCCATGGCAACAACGTCAGCCAATCCAAATAGTTTCGTGTGACGTTGAATTCCGCAGAGTTCTTTTCCAGCATCGACAGTTTGTTCATTTCGTCCTCTACCACGTCCAAAATGTCTTTGGGAACGTGACTCGTCGGTGCATCTACGACGACCTTGATCAGATATCTTTGTTGTTGAAATGATACATATATATATATATTACCAGGAGTTTCCGCATTCGACGGGATTTTAAAATCGTTCAATCGCTGGCGAAATTTGGCCAGCATCGCTTCCTTGTCGTCTTTTTCCAATCCAAGCTCTTTTTTAATCGTTTTCAATTGCTCCATGAGCAAATACTGGCGCTGGTTCTTGGTCACCTATTTCCACCAAGAATTATTATTATTATTCAATATATATATATATATATATAGTCCATATAAAATACAATCGACGTATATATAATATATATATATATATTTCCAATAAAAACCTCCATACTGACCAAGATATCATTGTATTGACGATGCATGCATGCACAACATACATTATATTGTATCATATACGATATACATTATATTGTATCATATACGATATACATTATATTGTATCATATACGATATACA